AGAGCAGATGCTCAAAGCAATGGCAATCTAGAACTAAACAAATATGGTAGACCATCTCCTGCAGATCATTAGAAGGTTCTTTATGGACTGGGATCAAGAGAGTAGTTGTCTACCATTTTTCTAATGCTATTCTTGAGATCACAATTAAGAGATATATTTTTATATTAATATTTTTTTTCTTATAAATTGGCAGTGTCGAAGTGAAATAAAAATCCTGCCTTCTCATAATTAAATCACTCGAAGCCAGATATATCAGTAATCTGGATATATCAGTAACTCAGATATATCTTTTTTCGAGCTTGCGAGAAAAAAGAGTGTATATTCACCTTTTTTTACTAATCATTCACTAGATTGATCGGTCCTCAGCTCATACTTATTAAATAAAAGCCTTAGTTAATAAAATCGAAATATAAACATGGCCAATATCCAAGATATTTTTGAGAAATGAATAAAAAATAATTATACCCGATCTATGTTAACTGGATATGGGTTAAACTATATTAATAATCTAAAAACGCCAGAAGCATAGTTATGATTTGCGAAGTATCATTCACCTGAATATATACGAAGACGTTTATTAATGCTAGGTTATAATATTAATAGAAAGGATTATTGGAAAAATTTTGTATTTTGTGTAAAAAACAATCTAACCAGAAATGAATATATAGTCAATAACTCCAAATTTAGAGTGTTTAAAATCCAAGTAGCTTTGTATATAAAAAATTGATCAGCAACTATTATCTAGCAAACATATCATTTATGGCAAAAACGAATAAATTCGGCTAAAATAATCTAGTACGCAGTAATTAAATGGCTTTATCGAGTTAATGGACCATTTATGAAATGTGTTCAAGACCGGTATTATCAAAATGCTAATAAACTTGAAATTTTGAGGAGCTTTGATCTTTCTTTTAATTTATTAATTAAAAGAGTAATTGCATTACAGGAATAATCTGCTGTGGAATTATCTATTCAATAATCGAAAAACACCAGAAACTTGGTTACAATTTCGCATTGTTTATTAAATCAAACCCAAGTTTATCGTATTCGAAAAGATTTAAACCTTTCATAGAATAAGCTAAAGCATCTAATAATGTATTGTGTTCTAATACTCCAAATGAATTAGATCTAGAAAACGCGACAAATAATCCATTTTTTGCTTGCTCAGATAAATTAGGAAGACACATGATAAATAGCCTAAGAAGGATAAACCATTGACGAGCTTCCTGGGCTTGATAAAGTTTTTTCAAAGCATCTTTACCAAAACGATTTTGATAATCCCATCTAGTATATGTTTTTCTAGGGTTTATTATGTATTCTGCCTCTTCGCCTTATTTGGAGAAGGAATAACCAAGGCATATTACAACCATGTCAATGGTGAGTTAATAGATATTCTATATGAATATCGCAGGTCTAGAGTTCATAAGAGTGAAATGGCTATTTGTTTCGATTGCTGGAAATTAGTAAAGATCACTGAAGTAAAACCGAAAAAAGTATATTTTAATAAATATCATAGATGGGGCTATGAAGTTGAGTCTGAAGATTTGATGAAGAATTATTGGAATTACTCTTGCTTCGAAACTAAAACTGAAGAGGCCTCTTTGAAACCAGATAAATCATATTCGTCAACTAGTCTCAAGAAAACAACTTCTTCTATGCAATGTAGTGTAAGTGCGCTCAGCATAATTAATATTAATAGACCCAGGGAAGGAAATACAAACAAATTATTTATCTCATCTCTCTTTGCAAAACAAATTAATTTACTTTCATCTTATCTTAATTTACCCAAAGATATTGTATTAAGATTGAAAGATGAAACAGAAATTACGATCGTTTAACTGATTATAGTCATTTATCTTAACTATATTTAACCAAAGGTAACTTATTTATAATATAATTTATTTTTTGTGAAATGATTGCTTAGCGGAACCATTTGTCTGTCACACTTATGCGAGTAAAAATTATGAATTAGCTTGCATACTTTTTTCCTTGCACTTTTGCCTTGCCTCTATTTCCTTCTGCAGGTTCAACGGCATGTCGAATCTTAGCCGAATTGCTAGAGGATCATCCTCCGACTTACTGAGATCAAATATAACAAACTCACTTTTGCATAGGTAGCTATTAATAACCATGGATACGCCCTTTACATCATCAGTATATCAGCCAGCTATCTTGGACACGTCTTGATAACTGCTTCCCCTATTATATATTACTAGAAGAGAGATATTCTCACGAATAATAATTGGTACATGATGATATTTCTGAGTAACATAGCATGGAGAAATATTTTGATGTCGCCCATGTGTAAAAAATGGAATAATTCGATTTTGGATAGACTCGGAAGCAACACATACATCCTCAAAAATAATTACGGTGCTCCTCTCAGATGAAAATGATTTCATACTAGGAATTTGTTCTGGTGATATATAGCTGAATCTAATGTTTTCGAAATAGGGCGCTTTGGGATTGCTTGCTATTATTCCATACATATATCTAATAAATGCCCATTTCGGCTCATCAGGATGGTAACCGCAAACTATTAAATTATCACATCTAATATATCTGAATCCACCTTTTTGTCTTTTATAAATATGTTCACATTTATCTCCAAGAACAAGGTTTGCTAGTAAATTGGTCTTACCTATACCACTCCTTCTGCTGACTATCATACTGAAAGGTCATGACATTGCTGGATGTCCAACATTTCGGGATGATTTGTGCTTTGTGGCCTCATCCATATCTATAAAATAGAGTTTCATAGGTGGTAGTTCTTTTTTTTTGTTCTTTTGTATAACGGATTGGGAATCCATAACTCTGATTTCTATCTAAGGGTATTTTATAATTCAGAATATTTTTTCCTTTATTGAGGAGTGAAATAAAAGAAAATATATAAGAGGATATGCACCATAGGAAGTATATGATTAGTAATATTATTATGATGAAGACTGCATTCTGCTGAAAGAAGAAATTAAGTAATACTGAGGTTATTTTAGGGCTAGTGATTTCATTACCTTTCTCTGGTCCGCTATCACCTCCAATCACTTCATTAAACTCACTGGATGCTTCCAAAATCTGCTCTCCTAAATGAGTATTAGTTTCTTAAGGAAGGGACTCTTTTTCTAAAGAGTTCTCAGGTGAGTCTAGATCTGCTTCAGCTCCACCTATTATGTTCGATTCGTGAAATAACTGAGATATTTGTTGTTTTAACTAATCTTCCAATTCCCTTACTTTAGACCTGAGACAGCTAATTAACCTATATCTACATATTAGACCTCTTTCTACTTTCTCTAGCTCGTTTATTTTAGCTCCAAAAGAGGCAATTTCAGAATCCTTACACTCTACCTCAGCTTCCAATTCATGTTTCTTTGAATTTAAATCATCACTTTCCTGCTTTAATGTACGATTAAGAGAATTTAATTCACTTATTTTATCCCTAAATGAAGTTGTATCTGAATCATGAGATGTGCATTCTAATTCCATCTCTGATTCTAATTCTTCTACTTCAGCTTTCAGTTTATCTATTTCACCTTTAAGATAAAGAATCTCATCCTTGTCGAGAGATGAAGCTTTCTGGGCGAGGGTCGCTTTTCTCTTTAGTGTTTTAATCTCAGATTCAAGTGATTGGATTTTAGTATGGGATGCCCATTCAGAAGATCTAAACTTAGTATTGGACGCATTTAGCTGGCTAATCTTTTTTCTAGTATTAGCTTAAACTAGCTCAAGATCCTTTTTTTGCTTTAAATATACACCTTGCAGGTCTTTATATTCATTAGCAAGATCAGAAGCAGATTTGATACTACTATACAATGCATTCTCAAGTTCTGATTCGTGGATACTACCAAGCTGATGACCTCTATTCTCGATATCTTTTAATGTGTGCACATTGGATATAATTATAGGCCGGCTATGAAGTAGAGAAAAAAAAAGATATTAAATATTAAGCAATGCCGAACTTCCCAGCAAATAAATGGATGAAATTTTTGCCTAAATCATCATAGCCATTTTCTCAGTAAGAATTATTTTTTAGATAGATCCATATTGTGCATAGCACTGATACTCCCAATCCTCCTGATACTTCATGTAGTATTATTTTTTACATGCATTTTTTTACTAATACTACAAATAGTCTCCATATTATGCGTAGAATTAATCCTTCTGATACTCCGCATAATACTGGTTCTTTGGATAGTTTTGATAATGTGCATAGTCCACATAGTTTTAATAATATGTATAGTTTACATAGTATTAATATTTCACATACAGATTTTTTAATCATAGTATGAAAATCTGATCAACTGCCAATATGATCAATCCTTCACTCAGAAGATATATGCGCTCTGATGCTATGAAATTATCTACGGCAGATTATGAAAACATCATGCAATATCGGGATATAAAGTCCAAGCCTTTAGATCAATTAAGAAAAAAATTCCATATATCAACTTCTCGTTTATATTAGATTTGGAGAAGGCAGGAAATGGGAAGGGTCGAATGGAACTATTCAGCAGTCCTGCTTTCCTATTCAAGTACTAATGATATAAATAAACAGAATAGAACGGATTTGGAGTCTGATCCAGTTTTAGAAGAAAGTGCAAGCAGTAAAACAAAAAAGACTAAAGGAAAGAAACGGTCCCAAGAGAATCGACCCAAGTCTGTTAGCATCTTCGAGCTAACTATTACTCAGAATCAACTAATACCTGGAACAAAAAAAGAAATTATTTCACCTACTGAATCCTCTGAAGATGTCTTGGAATTATTTAAGAGAACTAATAATAATATAGAAAAAATTAAACATCGGTCATGTTCTTATTTCCAAATAGTTATTCGATCTTAGTTTCACATCGTCTAAGCAAACTATTATAATATTCTATGATTTCTAAATTCGATTAAATGCTAGAAAATAATGCTTTTTCGAGCTCTTTCGTACGAATTGCCATATCTTCATAATTTATGCAATTTACATACTTTTTTTTAAGTCTTTTTCAGAATTATCTGAAAAATCGGTGGATATTTGGTTCTGCTCCTCTTTTGGCAGTTCCTTAGCTACTAGGACCTTGCTATATGTTGGAATAACATAGGTTTTTTCATGTAACTTTATGCAGAATTGGTTTTTATTTGGCTCAGGAACACCTTGGAGCTTTCAAATATTAGATATACCTAAAAATAGTATTGGTTCAGGTTCGCTATTATCTATATGTACAAAATTTCCAATGATCATGACTGTCTTTCCCTCTTTGTCTGTCATAGTAATCGGCACATCTGTGTACCATCCTAATAAATCGGAAATATGTTTGGAATTGCCCTTTATAGCAAAATCTGATGGCTTATTAATCTTCCATCCAAGTGCGTAAATTGCTGGATCATTTATTTCACCGAATTCACTTCCAGTATCTAAAAAAGAATTAGAAATCAATAGATCATTTATATTACAATGCAAGTACTGTAAAGATGAAAACAACTCATCTGATTTTTTTGACTCCTTCTCCAAAGCCTTTCAGGACAAGCACATTTTTTGTATCGATGGTGAAAGCTTAGACAATAGCTGATTATATGTTTCAGGCTTGTTATTTTTTATTGGTATCTGTTTTTTTTTATCAGTAGATCATACCCAGTCCATCTATTATTTTCTTCATCATAACCTTTTTTCTCATTATCCAAACCTGGAGGTGTATTTTGAAAATTTATAGGTGTAAGAGGCTTAAAATAAGCAGACTGATTGAAATTAGATTGTGCTATCTCTCTATTAGTACAATTTTTTTTGCTATGGCCTGACTCTCCGCAAATATCACATTTTCGTATATATACTTTTTGAAATTGATTAGTTAATTGATTTACTGCATTACGAGTTTCATTTATCCCCTCCTCTACTCTATCGATTCTAGTAGAGACATTGCTCTTTCGAAGAAAGGGTCTTTGAAAATAATCTGAGTCTAAATCATTCTTACTAATTATATCTAAATCTTTAAGGAATTCTGCTACGTAATAATTTTTCATACCTTCTTCTGTTTTTAGTAAAGATAGCGGGCCTCTTGGCTGTCTAACTGGTTCAACAGCTTGCTGGGCCATTTGTGATTGAAAATCAGTTTTTTGCTTTTCTAATAAAAACTGATATTCAGTTTTTTGCTGTGCCAATGCGTTTTGGATCGCTTTTTGCATATCTTCTAAAGAAATTCCTTGCTGTTAAAGAGCTGAAACAGGCAAGGGTTCATATATTTTTCGAGATATTAGCAGATCAGGCATTCTATCTCTTTTATGCCTAGCTATTTGGCACAACTCTATCTCATATAGCTGTTTAGCTAATTCATCTAATGGCAAATGTTCACTGATGTCCTCAGCCTTTTCAAGCCATGGAAGTGGAAGAGCATCTAAGAACTTTCTATGTAATTCTTCAGGCCTATAGTTGGCCTGTCTACCTATTTGTAATAATTTTCTATATAATTCATCTATAGTTATGTTTCCCTTTCTGATTGTTTTATACATTAAATCCCGAAGCTCTTCTTCTACTATAGGAAAATGTGTTTTTAGCTACCATATGGCTTGACCAAAACGAATGCCAACTACAATGACTGTAGTACCATTATTAGCATTTGGTGCATTAACAGCAATATTAGTAGGCCAACCACCTGCTATGTGTCAATCTTCATCTCATGGACCTTCTACAGCTCTCAACTTGACTATTGCAGTTCCTGGTTGGCTGAGTGCTTCATTTAATGCTTGATTTCCTATCTGAACTGCTGTTTACCCATTTACTGCTACTAAGTTAGCCTGCGTTGTATTATCAAGTAAGTTTGCTAATTCCCAATTCTGTTTTGTAGTAATTTCTTCATCAAACTATTTTAAAGCTCTTTCTTTCATATAGCCTCTTAAATATCCCATAGCTACTTCTCTTCCAGTTGGTGGACCCCCACATTATCTGCTAGATTTACACCTTGGTTTTGTAAGTATAATCTTAGTTTCGCAAGAAAATCTGTGATATCATCACCCCAGTCAAAAAATGGTTGCGGAATTTCTGTCATATTTCTTCGATTTTGTTGATTATTATGTATTGCCAAAATTTGTTGATTTAAATTTAAATTATTCTGGCGCTTTGTATGAGTCTTATTTTTCCACTTCTCGTATTGTTCATACAATCTATCTCGATTATATTCTAGTAAACCTCTATCGACTCTGCATCGTTGTAAGTGATGAATATTTTGCTGATATAATAACTGAAAAGCAAAATTTTCACATAGCAATTCACTGATGCGGGTTTGTTTTCTTGCTATATTATCTATCATTCTATTCACTTGGTTTTGTGTATTAATCCGTAATTGATGAAGATTAAGCAATGCCTGATCTCGCTCCTGCCTGTATATATTCTGGTTCCATCATTCGTTTATCAGATCTTGTTGCAGGTTAGTGTATTTTCGTCGAATTGCCCTAGTTGATCTTTTAATTTGATTTGTTAAAATGGTTCTACATATTGTTGTATTTTCTAAGAATCGGTCTATAGCATCATCCAATTCAGCTATTGTACCCATATTATCATCAGAATTATACAAGTCTATAGAATTTTCATCAGAATCGGATTCATTTTTGCCAAAATTCCATGCCTGTGTATTTTGTAAAGCCTCTTGTATATTTCTAAGTTCTAATCTATCTCGATATCTTAATAATACTAATGCAAAATTTTGACAAAGCAGATCTGTAATACGATTTTTTTGTTGATTTATTTTATTAATCCTATTTATTTGATTAGCTCTTATTGTATTTATTTCTCGTTTAAGCCGTTTATTCTCATCTACTAATCTGGTTGTATAATCTTATGCTTTAGAAGTATTACCCGCAGATTTTGATATCTCCCATATTCGGGTTTTTAATTTTGTCTCTCATTCATCAAATTCGGTTATTAACTCATTCTTATTTGAAATTTTTTTATCTTTCTTTTTATTTTCTTCCTAAGTTGGCGAACGATTCTTTTTAATTTTGAAATTTTTTCTAATAATTCTTCTTTGTCTTGTCTAGAAAGTTCGATAGTGTTATTTAACTCTTCTTTAAGAAACCATATTCTTTCCTCCTATATACTGATAATTCTTTCTAAGGTATATAGACGCTGTTTGAAATTCCTATTTGATTTTGCTAATTGTGATACTACCTCATGGTGTTCTTGATTACTTTGTTGTAATTCCTCCATATTTTTTTACTATAGTATAATAAAAAAACCTTTGATTTATATCGATTCACAAAAAGCCTATGAACTCGATCAAAAAATCACTAAGAGTAAAAAGGTTAAAGATCGAAATTTGACATTACAAAGGTTATATTATCAGCCTGAGAGTTACTATCGGACTGCTGAAAAAATGCGAGATGTCTATAAGAATGCTGGGTATGATTTTCTCTTTACGGAGATTAAAAATTAGCTAAATAAGCAGGCATTGCATCAGATTCATAAGCCTCAGCCAAAATTTATTCAGTATGCTTCTTTCAATGATATATAAGACCTAAATAATGTGCATCAATCTGATACTACACTATTTTCTTATTGTAAAATAGGCAATTGAATTTATAAGCATAGGCTTGTAATAAAAGATGTGGCTACTAGGTTTTGTTATAGTTTTGCTTTAACTAATAAATCATCTGCACAAGTGGCCAAAGCGTTTCAAAAAATTTATAACAATCCCAGTTGCCCTCTTATTTGGCCAAATATTTTAATCATCAATAGAGGTACTGAATTTTTAGGCGAATGTAAAGATTTATTACTTAGTCATGGCATAAAAATTCAGTATTCTTACTCCAAACGTGGTGCTGCTATTGCTGAATGTGACCATCAAGAATTCGAAAACATGTCTATATTCAGCAAGATGCGAAGGATTTTTTACTTCTCTTATCTAAAAGATTTAGAGATTGAGTTAAGAGTCTTCATATTAATAATGATATATTTAATAATACTCCAACCTGATTAATAGGAATGCCCCCTAATGGAGCTGTAAAAAGAGCATTAAAAGGAAAAAAAATAATAGCTAGACCTTCGGTAAAGCATAGAAGACTAATTGGTTATAATGAACCACTTTTATCTAGTTATATAGAAGTTCGCCACCTTTTAGAACCTGGTGAATTAGAAGGTGGAAGAAGGAGAGCTACTGATTGCAATTGGTCTCCTGAAGTTTTTACAATTGATTCTTATTTAATAAAAGGAAATCAACCTATTCTCTATAAGCTTTATAATAGTCCTAGACACTTTTTTGTAAGAGAAGAACTACAAATTGTAAAGGATATGCAATTACACCCTCAATGGATACTTAATAATTAGATTTTAAACATTAGGATAGATGATACAAAGTTTCTTCTAAAAAAATAAAACGCAAATTGACATTAATTAATGCTCAAAATATTGCTTTAGAAAAAGGTGGACAATATCTTTCTGAATGTTATATCAATAATAAAAGTCCTTTACAATGGAAATGTGCCAAGTTTCATGAATGGAAATCTGCTTTATGTGATATAAAAAAAGGTAGATGGTGTCCACATTGTGCAAAATGTTTTAAACTTAATATTGGTATTACTAAAAAAATTGCATTTAAAAAAGGTAGTATTTGTTTTTCTGAAAAATATATAAATAGCTATACACCACTTTTTTGGTAGTGCACAAAAAATATGAATGGCAAGCTCCTTTAGAAAGGATAAGAAATCATAATTCTTGGTGTCCTAAATGTGTAGTAGATACTCGAAGAGTTGGTTTAGATTTAGCTAAAAATATAGCTCGATCTAAGAATGGCGAATATTTATCAGATGAGTATATTAATATTCATACTCCATTGCAATGGAGATGTTATAAAGAACATATTTGGCATGCAGTTTTAAATACAATAAAAAATTGAAATTCATGGTGTTCTCAATATGTAGGATGTTTTAAACTTAATATTAATATTGCTAAAGAAATTGCTTTTAAAAAGAGTGAAAAATGTTTATTAAAAAAATATATTGATATAGATTCTTTACTTTTATGAGAATGTAACGAGAGCCATCAATGACATACAAATCTTAGATGTATAAGAAATTTGGATACATGGTGTCCTCACTGTTCAGGTAATGCAAAACTTTCTATTGAGGAAGCTAGAAAAATTGCGACTAAAAATAAAGGATTATGTCTTTCTGAAACATATAATGGTGCGCATATAAAATTAAAATGGCAGTGTGAAAAAAAGCATGAATGGTATGCAACCTTGGATAAGGTAAAAAATTTAGGTACATGGTATCTATTTTGTCCATAGAAGAGACAAGAACTCTGCAAAAAAATAGCAACAGAATTATTAGGCCTACTATCTAATATTCATAAACCAAATTTCTTAAAAATGCCTAATCATCCATTAGGACTTGAACTTGATATACTGGCGATCGTAGTAATGCAACAAAAAAAAATTTTAGTTAGATCATATTATTTCATGCAATTCCAGATGCATCTGTTAGTTTTTTTTTTTATTTTATTCACAAATAACAACATTTTCATTAATAAAAAAATTTAAAAAATTTAAT